GTGTGTGTGTGTGTGTGTGTGAGGGGAACAGGGTCACATCACAGGAGAGTGAACTGCCTGTCAGAAATCATAGCACGTCAGCTGTCTTAACCGCAGCTTGTGTACTGCATCATCACTGTGTCTGTCACGCGACTCTGTTGCCCTTTCGGGCTTGAACTGATGGTAAATCTAACGACATTATTAACTGTCTTGATATTTACTTTGAAAGCTGAAGCGATTATGGTAAGGGGAATTACATTTCCGACGCGTGCTTGTGGTGTTCGGCCAATCACAATGCACTGGGTCAGCTGGCCAATCAGAGCAGACTGCGCTTGTCAAAGGAGAGGGCTTTGTTGAAAATGATGTGTTTGAGAGAGGCGGGGCATAGAGGACCTACAATAATGTACAGTATTTGAAAAATAATGTTTTTTTTTTAACATATTCTGTTACACCAAATACACAAAATAATGATCTTTAAAATAGCATCATATGACCCCTTTAAATTTTCCACCAAATTATCATAATTTTTGTAAGATAACAATGCCACCTCAGTAAATTAGTAAAATATTAAACTTGTACATCGGTTGTACACTCGAAATGAGCATTTTGCGTAAAAAGTAGTGAACGAATGTAGGGAATGAAGTAGTTCACTCCGAATTCAGACAGCACTACAAAATGGCTGACACTCCTATTGGCTCATGTCAGTCCAAATGACTGGCCAATTGTCGTGAAGTATGCAAATCGCATGCAAATACTGACGTGCTCAAGAGGCAGTATAAAATGCAGTGCACGCGACAATTACATCAGAATCTTTTCCTTCACTTTGCTGAATAACCTAAGAATATGGCTTATAATCTATTACAGCTCACTTAAGGTTCACTCATCAGAGGGCGGTGCCTGGATTGCCGCTCCTCTGCAGCGTTCAGGTGAGTATGACATTTTTCTTCAGATGCCAGATGAGTCCATCTGCCCTCGATCAGTGGTGGACCTTAAGGACACTGGTGATGAGCTCATGCCGACAAAATGTCTGCATTCCTCTCACCCATCGAACCAGCAAGACATCAGCCCGGCTTCTCACGTCCCCCTTCCATGGCGGAGCGGAGAGCCGAGGGCAGATACTGGAGCTAAGGGTTTGATGAGCTCATGCCGACAAAATGTCTGCATTCCTCTCACCCATCGAACCAGCAAGACATCAGCCCGGCTTCTCACGTCCCCCTTCCATGGCGGAGCGGAGAGCCGAGTGCAGATACTGGAGCTAAGGGTTCTCATGTCGCCGCAGATGCTGCACGACCCACTGTCTAATAAGTGTGCAGCTCCCCACCTCAGAGCGGCGTTCTGCCGTGTGCAAAGCACAATCACTGGCTCCTCACTCATTCACACGATACCAGCCCCTCATCAGCGGCTGCCGTGTTTGGAAGACACTGCTCTCTCATTCACATGATACCAGCCCCACATCAGCGGCTGCCGTGTGTAGAGGACTCCGCTCTCTCACTCATTCCTGAGCGCGTGGAAAACTATTCTGGGAATCTTGCGCTGGTTACTCGGTGTGATAGAGCGTGGGTACACCCTTGAATTCAGACGCAGACCACCCCTTTCAACGGCGTGGTGAAGTCTCTAACATTGCCTCGAAATGCCCTGGTTCTGAGACAAGAGGTATGCAACCTGCTCAAAAAAGGAGTGATAGAACGAGTCCCTCCGAGTAAGCTGGAGAGTGGGTTTTACAACCGCCATTTTGTGGTGACAAAGAGAGATGGAGGACTCTGCCCGATTCTAGATCTCAGGCCCATCAACAG